CCCCCCACAATCAAAGTAAAAACAAAAAATTTTACAAATTATAAAAATGCATAGTTGAAGGTATTTAAAAATCAAATTTTATGATTATTAAAAAGAAGTCAAAAAATAAAATTAAAAAAAAAGTTTATTCAAAAATGATGCAAAAGGGTCAAAAGAGTATACAAATTAAAACAAAAAATAATTCAACAATTATTCATCCGCCTCAGCATTAACAAAAGGATTCGCAATTTGTTCAATTCCATCGTTTGGAGCTATAACAGTTATGGCTGTTCCTAAAATTAAAAAATAGTTTTGAGAAGGGAATCCTTTACTTTAATGACCTCTAGAAAATAAGAGCAAATATTTTTTTATTTTTTTGAGGTGAGGTTACTGACAATGAGTCCAAATTTTATTTTTTTCGAATTCAGGACCCGAAAACGACCTCGGGATCAAATACTAATTACTTAAGGCAACTCTACAAAATATTGGAAAGCAAAAATATTAGAAAGTGCTCATTTTTACCTAGGAACTAGTAAAGTATGTAATTACCAAAAAAATTTTTAAAACCGAAATTTTAGGAAAAATTAAAAAAAAATAAAACCTCTAGCGACAATTAATCCCAAACTTTTAGTTTCGTCGGTAACTCGAAGAGGGTCTTCCGGATCTCTCAAATATTCAATTGCGTTGTCTAAAACTAAGTTTAACAGAGCATCGTATCCCTTTAGAATTCCGGAAGCTGAAAATAAAAAATAAAAAAATTGGTAAGGGTTCACCTTAGCAACACAACAAAAAACACGTTTTTCTAGTGTAATAAAATGCGCTGAGTTCAAAAAACACAATAAAAGTTCTCAAAACGGTGCTCAAAGGCATTTTTTCCCAGATTTTCAGACCCCTGAAAATCGCAAACCATAGGGGGGACCAAGCTGATTTTTGGGTCAAAATTTCAAATATACAAATAATAGCTCATTCGAAAGGGCTCGACGAGCTGAGTTGAATGACACCAAAATCAGCTCGATTGGATGATTATGAACAAAGTTATGACCAACGGAATCTTCGCTGGAAAAACTGTTTTTGTGCTGCTACGGAGGGTAGGCCGGGCATGGTCTTCGCTACACGATGGCCGTGCTTCGCTGCGGTCGTGCTCGCTGCGCTCGCGGCGGCCGTCGTTCCGCTCGACATGCCCGGCTTCCTCCGCAGCGGCAAAAACTTTTTTCCGCGTAGGCCTTATGGGAGGGGTAAAAACAAACGGTCATAACTTTGTCAAATCAAGTCTGATTTCGTTGATTTTGGTGTCATTCGATTCAGCTCGACGAGCTCTTTCGAATGAGGTATAATTCGCCTATTCGAATTTTTGACCCCAAAAATCAGCTTGGTCCCCCCTTTGGTTTTCGATTTTCGGGGGTCTGAAAATCCGGGAAAAAATGCCTTCGAGCACCGTTTTGAGTATTTTTATAGTGTTTTTTGAACTCAGCGCATCTTTTTACATTAGAAAAACATGACTTTCAGTGTGTTGCTAAGGTGAACCCTAGCCAAAAAATTTAAAAGAAAAATAAAAGAAAACCTTCTCGGCCTCCCTGAAGCTTAATTCGAACACTTTTGTCAATAAAACGTGAAAGGTCGACAATACTTTCTTTCTTCTTTTTATTTGCGTCGTCTATGACCATTAGAAATTGATAAAAAAAATTACTTAAAAATAAACAAAATAAGGATTAAACAAAACAAAAGAACAAGGAAAACTCAGACAAACAAAACGGGACACGCAGGCGCGCGGCCATAACGGCGCAAACCCCATAACGGCGCAAAGCCATAACCTGCTGGAAAATGTCTGGCCCTCATCAATTTTGGTACTAATCTCTTTAGCTCGATGAGAGGAATCGTTTAATACTAAATTTGGAAAGATTCGGAAACTTTGAAGCAAGTTTTGGCCTTGCGCCGTTATAGATCTGCGCCTACTTGGGCTGTACCTAAATAAAACAATTTCCCCGTTTTACCATTTTTAAAGTTGATATTTTGAAAAAGACATTTTTATAATTATTTTTCTTATTTCTCTTTTACAACACTATTTCCATTTCTCTAACCATCTCGCATTTATGTCTCTCAGTTTTTCATCATACTCTCTCATTGTTCTTTCTCTACTTTCTTCTTAATTTTTAATAGAGTCCGGCACGGGACGGGACCCCGCACGGGATTTTACGGGATCCCGTCCCGGAATCCCGGGTTTTTTGCGGAAAACGGGATTACCGGGATTCCGGGATTTACGGGATTAATCCCGCGGGATCCCGTCCCGGTCGAATTTTTAAAACCCAATCCCGTCCCGGGATCCCGTGAATTTTTTTAAAATTTACGGGATTCATAATTTCTCCAGTAAACTGCCTGCGTCGCTGAAAAAGGAAGAAATCTGGCTTCTTGGGCTTCCAAAATATTCAAAATTTTCGCCTGCGGCGCTTAAATACGAAGAAATCTAGTAACATGGGCTTCTTAAATTCTCAAAATTTTTTCCTGCGGCGTTGAAAATGGAAGAAATCTGGTTTATGGCCTTTCAAAATAATCAAAATTTTTGCCTGCGGCGCTTAAAATTGGAAAGGAATTGGGGGCTATCGGTGGATTTGGAGTTATAGAAGGATATTGGTAAAGGTGAGTGGATTTGGAGGGATTAAGAGGATTTGAAGATATGAGGATTAAGATGGATAAGCGATTTACAGAGATTAAGATAATTTGGAGAGAAATTTGGAGGATTAAGAGGGATATCAGTGGATTCGGAGGCATTAATGGGGATTCGAATAAAGGAGGATTAAGGTGGATCAAGGATGACCTCATAATCCGCCAATTTAACTATAGCAACTTATATCTCATCTAATCCTCCAATATCCTTATTAATCTTGCGATATCCTTACTAATCCTCAGATATCCTTGCTAATCCTCCGATATCCTTCCAAATTCTTCGATACCCCTCTAAATCCACTGTTATCCCTCCAAATACACCAATATCCCCGATATCTATTACGTAAAATTTTTTTTGTAAAAATCCCGGAATCCCGGCGGGATCCCGGGAAATTTGAAAACGGGATTACCGGGATTACGGGATTTACGGGATTAATCCCGCGGGATCCCGTCCCGTACAAAATTTTGAAAAAAAATCCCGTTCCGGGATCCCGGGAATGCGATTTTGCCGGACTCTAATTTTTAATCACACTTTTTTCGAGAATTTTTTAAAGAAATTTTAGAAGTTTTGGGGGTTTTTTCGAGGTTTTTTCGATGATTTTGATGGGTTTTTTCCAGTTTTTTCTTGTTAATTTTCGACTTATATTTTAGTTAGAGACTAGATTCTGCCTATTTTTTCAAAGAAAAAATGTTCAACCTGCAAGACAGAATTAAGGGTATTGATATGGACCGTGACTATCACGCTACTCGTATTTCTATTCGAGATAAATTGCTTTCTCAAGGTTTCTTTTTTTAATTTTAAATTTAATAATCTTTCTAATCTTCAAAGAAATCAAACAACTCGAGCAAAATCTTCGAGATCTTCCAACATGTAAATTAACTTTTCCATCAACTTCAAAAAATGGGGAAGTTAACCTTCACGAAATGGACTTGATTGTTAAACCAAACACTGGGTTGTACAAAGGAGGAGTTTTCAAATTTAAAATTACTGTTCCTCCAGAATATAATAACGTGGTTTGTTTTTGCGGTAATATTGAACCTGACAGATCCTATTTTTTCCTCACCAAGTTCCTATGGTTTTTCGATTTTCGGGGGCCCGTATCTCGGTCCATAGGCGTTTCCGAACCCTAGGAGTGGTGGTTCTTCTTCCTTCAATTTTCCTTATTTCTATCCGTGGGGGAATAAAAATTAATTCCTTTGTAGGAAAATATAGAAGGGCAACTGGGATGAAAGAAATGAAAAAGTCTGACCATTCTGTAAAAATATAGGAGGGAAACTTGGGGAGGAAGAAATGGGGTCTGTCAAGTTCAATATTACCGTTTTTGCTTTCAATAAAGTTTTTATTTGACTTCTATTTTTAAGCCGCCATTAGTCAAATGCTTGACTAGAGTCTGGCATCCTAATATCAACGAAGATGGAAGTATTTGTTTAAGTTTGTTGCGTCAAAACTCTCTGGATGGATTTGGTAATTTATTCTTTAGATTTCGGAAAAATCTTTAACATTTTCTACAGGTTGGATGCCTACTCGCCGTATTCACGACGTTATTCTCGGCCTTGACCAGCTTTTTACCGACCTGATAGACTTTGACGATCCTCTCAATGCTCAAGCTTCTCAACAATGGCAAAGCAACAAGGTTTTCTTTTTTTTTAATTTAAAGATTTACAAACTTTGGTTATAGTTTGGAAGTTGCCCCTTTTTTTCCTTTCTATTTTCTAGTTTTTTCTCATTTTATGGCATATTTCATATCACTCGTAAGAGCCTCACCCGGCAGCGAGACGGGGAAAAGGGGGGCGACTTCGAAACTACCCAAACTTTTCAGGAGACATTCGCGGCTAAAGTCAAGGAGTACATAAACAAGTATTGCCCAAAACATTGAAGAAGACAATTGCTCGAAAATGCTTTCTATGGACATCATGGCCTATCATATTTTGTTTCGAGAAGAAAATATACTTTATGTTAGGGTTGACCCCGTTCCCGAGCGATTTTGTTGAATTCGTCCTAGACATTCGCAATATCTTCCTCTGATCTTGTTTTTAGACCCACTTGAAAATAGTGTACAAATATTGGGAAAAAGCTTGGGGAAGAAAAAATTAGGGTAAATCAAGTAAAAATTAGGTCCGACCACCTTTGTAGACTCGTCAAACCCAAACAGAGGCCATGCCTTAACTTTCTACCCTGTAGGGCCGGGGTCTAACCCTATTTTGTAATACGTCATTAAATTTAAATTGAATTTATTTTTATCGTATTTATTTTGTTTTTTCTTTAAATTTCTTTGGATTTATAAACAATTTTTAATATTTTTTATTAAATTGGTTGACAGCCAACTTATTTTTTTTTCCTTTCTAAATTCTAAATAATTAAAAATTACACAAAATATAGATTAATGTCTTCCGATCTTAGACCAATTGTCTCGTTTGAAGTGGTGCCTGAACATTGTATTCGAAATGATCAACTTGAGCTGATTTTGGGCACCCCGATAAACCAGGTTATTTGTTTTGAAAACTTTTTGATTTTTACTTGTTTTCTAGGTTATTAATGGAATCCAAAACGTCTACAGAACAATTAAAAATGTCGAATTAACTTATTGTACAAAGGTTGTTTAAATTTAAAATCATCTAGATGATTCTTCTGGGATACCTCCCTCATTTGAAAAGAGTGAAGGAATCATATTTTGCTTTCCTCGGAATGGGAGTGATGACCACGTTATAGGGAAGTCCAAGGAAGTAAGGAAGAAAGCGATCTCGGCACTCCTTTCACAGAGTCTATGTCTATAATAATCTTCGGGAAAATAAATGAGTGACATGAAAAGGAAAAATGACGGACTTATTGTTAGACTGAGGGGACGGGTGGGATAGTCAAAAATACCGCTCAACTTTAAGCATTTAAAATCAAAGTTTTTAGGAACCTTTTGGACGTGATATAACAATTACTCTTCAAAATAATGGTATTCGAATGTATTTTGATTCGCACAGTCAAGTATTAAGAATGATTGAATTATTCGACTTTTCACATGTTACTCTACACTATTGGTTTTTTAAATTTAATTTTTATTTTTAAATTTTGTTTTTAAAGTCATAATGTATTTTCATCCCCGGAGGAGCCTGCAGATGTTGGAAAAGTTGAAAAATGTTTTGGGGCGACAGTTCCTGGAGGTTTTGAATTTTCAATAAATTTGTTGAATTAAAAAATTAAATTTACTAGTTTACGACGAAAAACAACAAAAATACATTATGAATTGGCGAGGCATGTTTTTTTAGATTTTTTATGATATGGTTGGGTATCTGACTCCCCTTTTCCTGCCCTATGGTGATTTTTGAGTCACTTCCTTGATCTCTACTCCGATTTGAGTCACTTCCTTGATCTCTACTCCGAACTCATTTTTTATAGACATACCAAACATTTACAGAAAACTTCCAACAGAATTACAAAAATCGTCAATCGAATTGTTTCCAAAGCTCCTAAACAATTTTAACATAAACAATATTTTATCATAGCCACATTCCATTCAAATGTCTCCAGACCCTTAGCGATTTAAATTTAAATTATTGTCACGTTTACTTTACTTTATTTTATCTGAATGTCACGTTTTTATACGTATAAATTGAATTGAATTGAAAAAATATTATTCCCCAACATCTTTGTTTTCCGAAAAAGTTTTACCGACGAATCGGGGGCCAATCTATTTTTTAAAATTAAATTTAAGGTTTTGGGTAATGTTTGGGATAAATTGTTTTATTTTTAATTTTTATCCAAATAATTTTAATTATTTATTTTCTAGGCGTCTCGTTCTGTTTCCCAGCCAAAGAAAGCTCTTCAGTTCAAGCTAGTTATGCTCACGGTCTAAGTTCGCTCAGTTTTGCAAGTTCAGCACTTCCACAACTCGAAAGAATGACTTTATTTAACGGAATATCTCCTGCTAAAATGAAGTTTTTTTTATTTTAAAATTTTTTTAAAAATTAATTTAGAACGCCAGAAATTCCTCAAGTTGTATATTGTGGCAATCCAAGAATTATTTTGGTAGAAAATTTAAATTCGGAAGATGGACGTTTAATTGGACTTAAAATTAGATTTAAAATTGAAGGTTTTTTTTGGCTTGAAAGAATTTAAAAAAAAATTTTTTTTAGAAGTGACTGATCATTCGGTAGATGAACTTCAATTGGTAGAAATTGAAAGACCAATATTTTTTAACGATACACAAGAGGTTTATTTTTTAATTTTCTGGTAATATTTAATTTCGCCTTCTCTCTTTTTTTGTTTTTCGGGAGCGCGCTAAAAGACCAAAAACCTTTAAGGCTGCTAAAATACATACCAAATTGGAAAATAAAACAGACATGAGTGTTTTCCAATTTTGTAAGAATTTTTCAATAAAGATCAAGTTTGCTCCGTCCCGAATTTTGGTATTTTGGCATGGCTATGGGGGGGGGGGTTTGATATTACCGCATTTTACTCTTTTTTCTTCCTCAAAATACTATTCTAAAAATGTCCAGGCTTCCTTCCTCAATTTCGTTTTATTTCTTTATGGCATTCAACCAGTCTCGATTGAAGAATCACTGATTAGATAGTTGAGCCAAATAAATTAAGGAAAATATGATTAGTATGGGAAAATAGGAGGAATTCGAAATTGAATATTACCTAACTTTTTCTTTAAAAAATTGTTTTTAGGCTGTAATGACTAAATTGGGTGCTCCTTCAAAAATTTATTACAAATCTGAAGAAAAAATGTTAATACAACGAAGTACTACAGGCTCGGAAAGATTAAATGATGGAGAAGATGACAAGGCCGATTTCTTTTTTAATTACTTCTCGTTGGGAATGGTTGGTTTCATTTTTTGAAACTAATTTTTTAAAAATAATTTTTGGGGTTTATTTTATCAAAAATGGTTTTTTATAAAATAAGGGGGAATCAAAAAATAAAATTCTTTTGAGCTAAAATATTTGTGAAAGAGAGAGGGAAAGACATTTGAATTAAATATTTTTTGAAGACAATAAATTTTCAAAATTATTTTCGAAAAAATTTTTTTTCCAAAAATTTTTTTAAGTTAACTCAAATGTTTTTCTTCTCTTTCTCAAACTCATTTTTGAGAGAATTTTTTTTCAAAAAAAATTTTTTTTTCAAATTAATTTATCAAAAAGTTAACATAGTCCTTCTCTCTTCTTCTTCTTGGGCTATTATTCTTCCTTTCCCAAAAGTTTTATATTCTTCATAAATCTTTTTTTCTTTTTCTCTTGGCGCGACGCAATTATTATTAAAATAATTATTATTTATTAAATTTTCTTCTTTAAAAGTATTTTGTTGAATTAATAACGGTTGTTGTTGTTGATTTATTATTCGAAGCAAGTTAGTTGGGGGAAGAGGTTGGGGTATTGATATTTGACTTCTTGATGTTGATTGGGGGATTTGACATTCTAATAGTGTTGAGGGAGGTGAATTATCTGTGAATTTGATGAGGGATGTAAAATTAATTTTTTTGAGATGATTTGTTTAGGGGAAATGTTAGAAGAATTTTTCTTTGTTTTTACCTAAATCCTTAATTTTTGAATTTTTTTTGAGATATGTTTAGGATTTTTTATTTTTGGGTTGGAAGGGAGAGGGCTGTATAGGATTAAAAAAAATTTTTTTTAATCTTTTTTTGGTATTTTTTGTGTTTTTTGGGGGAAGAGGGGGGAGTAGTTAGATAGTGTTTTTTATTTTTGGGGAGATGTTTAAGGTTTTCTTTATTTTTTATCCTAATTTTGGGTATTGTATGTTTTGTATTGATTCTTTTTTTAATCAATTTATTTTTACCTAAATCTTTAATTGCACATTCTAAAGGTGATAGTCCACTATTTAAGGTCATCTTACTCAAATCATTTGGAAGAGTTTTTGTTGTCGTTATTGTTTCATCATTCTTCTCATTAGTAATATAACTTCCTTTTTGTTTAGAATCACGTCCCCAGTAAAGCAAAAGTATAAGAATAAGTGAAAGGAAAAATGCAGAAATTAGTAAAGCTGAGAGGATTAAGACTACTTCTGTGTTCTTTAAAGAAGGAAAAAATTTTGAAAAAATATTTGAAAGGAAAAAGAGGGGATATAGTGGACCCCTTAACTAGTCAGAGGTCTAATTGTAAGAGTTATTAGAAGGAACAGGTAAAAGTTTTCCGATAGCTCATGTCAGTAGGTAGAGCACATTTATCAGTGAGCATGCGCTAAAAATAAATTAGCGATTCGTCAATAAGGGTGCATGTTCCCTGATCTGACGTGGTGAGCGTGTGTTTAGCTATAACTGTTAGGTTACAAGATACCCGGGGCCTGCCTTTAGATAAACGTTTACCTATCTTTTACTAAATTTTCTGCTTAAAAAAGTTCACCTGAGTTATTCCAAAATTACTTCCAAAAATAATAGCACAATCATTTATTTTTTGTACCCGATGCAATGGTTGACCTTTTAAAAGTTGTGGAACATTGCAAAGAGTTTCATCAAAACGTAATTGTTCTTGTAGTGGCAGTCGTTTTAACATGTGTAATTGTAAACTTTGAGCAGCACATTCACAATCCCAAGGGTTGTGATGGAGATAGACTAGGTGTAAATGATCCACAAAATCTAGCAATAGATGAGGAAGTTTACTGAAATTGGGTGAAAAATTTCTTTGAAATTTTATATAGTCGAGCCTCTTTGGATTCGTTAGTTGGGGTGAAAAAGTGTGTCTACATAAACTCAGGTTACTTCCCTCCACCTAATGTCCAACCAAAAATTTACCCTTGAGCAGTTCCCTCACTTTGTGGCTTACTAATATTAGAAAAAAGGTGTCTCTTAAATGGAGGTTTATTTAGTATTGGAGGTATCCATAGAGAGGTCCTAGATTTAAAAAATTACTACCTAAATTGATTATTAGAAATGTCCAAAACTTTTAATTGAGGCAATAAGGCATCTAAATTTGGAGGTAAATGATCCAGTCCATTAGTTGATAAATTCAAGAATTTCAATTTTTTATAAGATTTTGAAAGACTGTAAGGAATATTATTTAAAGAGCAATCGGCCAAATGTAATTCTTTTAATCTTGGAAGTGTTGAAATTAAATTTAAATTCATTTCAATCTGATTTCCACTTAAATGAAGTTTTTCTAATGTTGCTTGAGCTCCTGAAAGTGAAGAGTGGTTGGTTGGTCAGCGACTCTTCTAGTTTGATTAATTGGGTGTGTGTGTGTCAAGAAGGGGCTGAGGATATCAGGGAATAGCATATCGGGGTTCTGAGTTCAAAGATGGCCTAAAAATCATTCCGAGGAACTGGGAATGTTGGGATCAGGGAATGACATAAAAATCATCGTCTTAGAAAGGTCGGGGGACCACAAACCCTACCTGAAAGTATTGAAGAATCAAAGTGTCGAAAATGATTCCATCCTAAATCTAATTCAATTAATTGTGTGTCAGCAAAAGCTTCGCGATGGAAAGGTTTTGAATTTGTTAATCCCAGAAGATTTCCTTCAAGAAGCACTGTTGTTATATTCATCCCACAAAAGGCACAAGGGCCGATTGAACGAATTAAATTTTCGCGTAGATCGAGAATTTGTAGAGAAGGTAGAGCTCTGAAAGTATTTAAAGAGGAATTTTTTCTGGGCAGTTTCCTATTTTTACCTTAGCGAAGCACTAGGAACTTGTGTTAAATTATTGCTTGCTAAACCAATTCTTTTCAATTTTGGAACTACACTCAAATTTAGAGACCAAAGCTCCGCGTCATTCAAGCCGCAATTATTTAATTCAAGCCTTTCTAGTGATGTTACATCCGGGAGTAATTCGTTCAATTGTTTGGCACTTAATTTGTTCCCGTCAAGTTGTAATTCTTTTAAATGTCTTGGGCCTCGAAGTAAATTGCCTGTAGAAAGGTCTGGGCCTCCTAGTCGATTGTGGCTAAGTCTGAGATAGCGAAGATTCTGTAAAAGAATTCTGATTTTTTTGAAAAATTCTGATTCTGTAAAATCTCTTTATAAGATTAATACCTTTAAATAAATAAAAGCTCCAGTTGAGAGTGCACTTATTCTATTACCACTTAAATCTAGCATTTCTAACATTGGCATACCAACAAAAGACCCAAGCTGAATTTGTTCCAATTCATTACCCATTAAATAAAGCTGTGAAAGTAGAGGTAATCTGATAGATTGAGAAAGGGCAGGCATTGAACAATCGACTAAAGCGAGATGTTGAAGACGTGATAGTCGATTTAGATTGTCGGACCTTTAAAGAGATAAAAAGATAATTTGTGTAGTGATTGATATAAGAATCAGCGTCAGTCTAGTTGGATCATACCAAGGATCCTGTCAACTCGATTCCCTATACCGGAAATTTATTTTTTGTGTCGGCAAGATCTCTGGATCATACTAGCCCGGCTAGTCCCTGATCTCCTTTGTCTTATACAGCCTCAATTCATCTTAGACTTCACTTTATTTTTTACTTTGAGTAAACTGTTAGTGTGTTATGCTCGTCAGCTTTAGTAAACCTTCGGACATCCCTCGGACATAACTAAAGAAATTTTCAAAATATTTATTTACCAGTGCAATTTATTTGGTTTCCCGGGTGCCCCACGTATTTCCAAATGTTCAACATCTACAGGCACATTTTGTAGTAATGAAAGAAATTCGCTGTCATTCATAGATCCTTTTAAACATCTAACTGAAAGGCCGACAAATTGTGAATATTCTTCTTCCTCATCTTCCTCTTCACTTTTATTTTTTGGAAGAGAATCCATTCCGGTGATTTTAGCTCTCCCAATTCTTTGGCATTCACATTTGGTTGGACAATTTTCAAGTATTTGTTGTGGTTGTGTGATGAAATGGTTAGTATTAAATGTTGTTGAAATTGCTGCTAATGTTTCTTTGTAAATTGAAGCTAATTGGGCGAGAAAAATTATGCCGGGAATAATAAGGGAGGAAGATTGCATTTGTGTAGTTACTACTTTAAAGGAAAAGAATTTGGATTTTTAAGTTGAAAATTAAAGGAAAAATTTTTATTTTAAAAAGAATGAGTGAGTTGATGGGGATTGGTTAAGCTTTTGAGGTGTGTAAAAGTTTGGGGCGATTTTTTGTTCAAAAAAAATTTGTTTGCATCAATTTTTGAATGGACAATTTAGGGCATATTTTCACGTAAAAAATATTTTCTTTTTCCCCTAACTTTTCAATTAATTTTAAAATGATTTGTTTTTAAAAATGCTTTGTTTTCGTTTATTTTAATGGATATAATCATCAACAATTCATGCATTTTTAACAAATTTATTTTGAGGCTAAAATTTAGGAAAGTATATAATCGAAAAATAAATAAATTATGGACAGACGATTATTATTTTAGGCAAAAATGCATAATATGTATGAGGCGAAAAAAATGTGTTAAAAATAGTAGTTGAGGGAAGGGAGAAGGGGGATATATTTTTGTGTGTGTTTTAGACGGTTTTCCGGACATTCTAGGACAATCTAAAAATGGGGATAGATGATGATATTGAGGGTTTGAGCAAGTTATTAAGCAAGTTTTGGGAAGAAAAAAATTTTTTTAGAAAGAAAAATAAACTGGCCAATATAATTTTTATTTACATGTTGGCAACTTTTTTTAATATTATATCCTTTTTCAGGAAGAATTTGGGGGAAGAGATTCAATTTTATTTCCTAGAGGAGACATAAATTTAATTTAATAAGCTTATTATTTTTCCACAAGTTTTTATAAGTATGTGGAAGGGTGGAAAAAAATATTTTTTATTAAAAAACATGAGAAAAGTAGATCAAGCTCTAGTTTAAATCATACAGGAAAGTGTTGCAAACCATACGGATTATAACTCATAAATATTTTTTTAGTT